AACAAAAGGGTTGCATATTAGGGTTCCTTATCATGCCTTTGAAACATGTATAATTAGTTGTCTAATCCTCTATTTACAAGGTCAAGTCCACATATTTGACAAGTCAATACTTGAGTAGTTAATATCAACCTTTTTAAGACAAAGGTTGATTTCAGGGGCACGATGCTGTCATCAACACCTTGGAATGCTTCTTTACAATATTAGTTCACTGGTTATTTTAAAATATAATAATGATTATTTTTAAAAAAAAATTTTATTTATAAATATATCAAAATAATTTTTTTTTTAAATAATGTTTTATATTAACACATCAAGATAATATAAAAACATTAAAAATTATTAATTTAAAGTAAATAAAAAAATTTAAAAAAAATTAAAACATAGAAATAAATAAAGCTCTTAATCATATTATTTAATTTGTAATGACCATTAATCGCAGTGCTTTTATAAATCAATTCAAGTGGAAAGCATAAGAGGGCATAAAAGAACCAGTATCTTCCTCGACTCAAGAACCATGTGATAGTCGTGCAAGTTCTAAGATTTAAATCATCTCCTCCCTTGTAATTTAATGAAATATATATTTTATTCTTAGAGTCTTGGCTGAGGTGGTATATAAATAAATTTATTTCCTATACCTTAATTTTAGTAGCCATCCACGCTATCTTCAAATTAAAATAGCTAGTCTTGATAGAATTTTTTTTTTTTCCAAACAAATTGCAGTGTTCAATTTAAAAATTATGTGATGTTTTAAAAAAAGTAAATAAATAAATATAAAGTAGATTGATCACTGTGATCTCCGCTGTCTACATCCATAAGCAGCCGACCAAGCTTGACATTTGTATATGCAGCCTGCAGGGAAAGGAGGCTTAATCATAATTTTTGGTACAGAGGAAAATCAGAGGTTAAAGTGCAAAGGGTGTGAAATGCAGACTTCAATTTTCACGGTTAAATTTATATGTACGGAAAGTCAAGTTATTACCCTTAGACAGGGTGTACGCGACCATTAACATTGATTATTGTTAATTGATTGAGAAGACACAGAAAACACGTGGCAAAAGTGCCATAGCAATCCCACGTGTTTTTGGTGTGGCACCGAAAAAAAAACACATTTGTTTTTTTATTTTTTATGTTATTTCATTTTTTTATTTTATGTTTGATAGATTAACCTAGTTGATTATAGTAAATTAATTTTTAATTTTGAGTTAATCAAAAATTAGTTTTTATTATTTATTTATTTTATTTTTTATTAGGTTATTCTAGTTTCATAACTTGATAATAATGCTTATTGAATTAACCTAAATGAACTTGGGTTGTTTTTGTATTTTTAATTTTATCATTTTGTTAACCTAAATGGACTTTTGTTTTTGTATTTTTAATTTTATCATTTAATATTAGATCGGTTGAGAATTTAATTTCATAATCCGTTTTTATTTAATTTTTATAGAAATATCTTGGTATCTTAATCAGGTTGTGAATTTTAGTATTTTAACCTCGATTAAATCAAGTCATTTTTTTTCTTTACGGGAGGTTATTTTAGTTTTATGTCCTTTAACATTTGATTTTTTTTTATTATATTGTCTTTGTCTCGTGATCCAGATTACAAGTTTGGCAAGTCAATCCAATTAACTTGATTTTTTTAATTGATTTTTTTCTTAATATCGTTATTTAATATTGTATTTGATTGAGAATTAGACTTCATAGTTTATTTTAGTTTGATTTTTATGATTTATCTCATGACTCGAAAATAGTGCTTAACGGGTTGACCAATATTGATTTGACTTATTTTTATGTTATTTTTTAATTAAAATTTTTATATTTTTTATTATTCAATAATTGATCCGATAAGGTCAATTGAGAATTAAATTTTATAATTTATTTGATTTGATCTTTACAGAATTATCATAATCTCATGATTAGAGTCATAAATTTAACAAGTTATTATGAGTTAAATCATGTTACTTTTTTATTTTCTTTTCATAATGTTATCTCGGTCTCATGATCCAAGTCATATATTTGGCAAATGGACTTTAAGTTATTTTTTATGTTTATTTTTAATTGATTTTATTTTTAGCATCGTCCTTTAATATTAAATTAATTGAGAATTGAACTTTATAATTTATTTTTATTTTTATTTTTCTATAGGATTATCTCAGTCTGATGACTCAAATTGTGAGTTTGACATGTTAAACCAAGTTGTTTTTTTAGGTCTCTTTTTTAATTAATTTTTTTCAATTTTATTATTCAATATCGAGTTGATTGAAATTTAGATTTTATAATTTTATTTATTTATTTTTTATGAGATTATTATAATTTAATAACCCGAATCACGGATTTGATATGTTAACCAGAGTCTATGAGATTATTATAATTTAATAACCTGAATCACGGATTTGATATGTTAACCAGAGTTGATCCATGTTAACTGGAGTTAATTCAAGTCAGCCAAATATATTATTATTTTAAAATTAAAAAATATATATAATTTAAAAAAAATTATTTTTAATTGAATTATGTTTTTACAAATGTCTAGCTTGCTTTTGAATATTCAAAATCAATTGGATTACTTTAAATTAAGGCCTCACAAAACAAATATTTATAAAAAAATATTAATAACATCTTAATATATTTTTATATTTAAAATAAACTAGATTTGATATCCAGTAGAGGTCAATTATCCAGTGGACTCTAAATATTGGAGATGGCGTGTTTCACGCCATGTATGTAATAGTTCGTCACAGTTTTATTGAGATTGTGTAATGCTCTCTCTCTCTCTATATAAATATATATATATATATATATATATATATATATATATCACTGTTTTATTTTAAAAACATAAAAAAAATGTTTGATAAGAAATTAAAAAACGGAAGGTAACATTTATAAAAATATATTAAATTATAATTTAAAAAATACGAGAAATGATGAATTTGAAATGGAAGGTTTTTTATTTTATTTTATGTAACTTTAAATATCTTAAAATTACAAGAATATCACTTTGCATCTTAATTAAAAATAATTTAGTTCAATTTACTTAAAGAAATATCAGGGATCTTAAAATTATTTTATTTACTTATTTTTTTTAATGATATTTGTACGTGGGGTCAAACAATTCATGATTCATTTGAATAGTTGGTTTGGATGGCAAGAAGAAGATTTCTTGCCCGTAAAGTCTCGAGTTTGGGTAAAATCATTCAATTCTTGAAAAAAAAATATATATATCTGTATTCAATTAGCTACTTTAGTTGACGCTCAAGACTTCGGCCTGGACATGCACAGGTTCCTGGAGAGATTTCTTTTGTCGAAGAGTGGTGAACTGATGATATTTATTATCTTGTATAACCAAAAAAAAAATTATAAAAAACTTTTAATTTTAATTAAACTCAATCAAGATATATAAATACAAAATATTTATTATTATAATTTTAAAATTTAATTTAAAAGTTGATTTGGAATAAGACCTGAGTCAAATGTTGGGTTTATTGTCAACTGAAGTTAAAATAAATATAAAAATAATAATTATTATAATTTTAAAATTTAATTCAGGACTAATATTGAAAAAGGCTTGAGACATGGGCATAGATTCAATGTAAGAATAAAAATATTTAATATCATAGTTTTAAAACTTAATTTAGATATCAACTCAAGAAAAAGCTTGAATTAGGGTAAGGAGGGTCAACCTAGGTTGATCTAGCCAATTTAAGAATAAAAATAATTATTATTATAATTTTAAAATTTGACTCAGGTGGCCAACTAGAGATAAAGCACGATTCACAGGTTATGAGGGTTAATATAGATCAACTTGAGTCAACTTATAAATAAAAATAATTATTATTATAATTTTAAAATCGGATTAAAAAGTCTATTCCAAATAAGGCCGGAGTGATGGGCCAGCAAGATTAATCTGGGTAGAATCAAATTTTTTTTTAAATCAAGCATTTTTTTTTATTTTTTTAAATAAATAAATTTTTGACCTATATTTTATCTAGAGTTAACTAAATAGTTGGTCAACTTAGGTCTTGACCAAGTTATGTGAGGTCAATTATTTTTCTATGTTTTTTAAATCTAAACTAATCAAATCCCAGATCAATTGGGATTTGGGCCAATATATTGAGCTAGTGTGAATTTTATAATTAGTGTGATTATAATATTATTAAATTTAATATTTGAATTAAATTAAAGTTAAAAAAATATCAAATTATTTTTTAAAATTTATAAATTTGATAATAATAGAAATTAAAAGTAAAAAAAAACTTTTTCATATTTCATTAAGTCTTTTGATTATAGCCAAATAGGATATAGAAGAAAATTATTCTGTCTTTGTTATACCACTATTACATATTTTTCTAGCTTTATTTTATTTTCTAGCAATATGTATGTTAAAAGTAGCATAATTTAATAAAAAATAAAATTAAAAAAATAACGTTGATTTTTTTTAGGAGATGTAACATTCTCAGAATTAGCTTTTATTATTATTATTATTATTCTTTATTTTTAACATTTTAAAATTTTCTTTTAGTCTGTATGACTAAATCTAAAGGGGGTGTTGAAAAAACCCTTCTCTTTCACTATTATTTATTTTTTTGTTAATAATTAAACCCTTGTTGAGAAGGTCAAAATGGCCATGAACGTATGGAGAAATTGAGTTGCCTCCACCGCCTTCCTTAGGAGATAGGCATGGAGGGCAGCTGTATCAAGCTGTATCTGCACCTGGTCAGCATTAAACTTCCAAGGACTTGACCTTACACACGCATGCAACACACAGCACAGCACCACCCATTGTTTCTATGGCTCCACTCTATACTAGATCTCCTTCACCTTTTTTTGGTGGGCGCTTGACTTTGACAAAAAAATATTGTCCCGTTGTCAATTCCCAACCGACAAGGTCTCGTCCATCAATCTAACTAAAGATAAAAGCACATGCCAGCAGCTTCAGATCTCGTGTGAGCAAATACGTGTACGGTGTACCTACTAGGACTGCTATATATCTTATCTTTCTCCATGTCCTTTCCACCAAGTTTCCACGACCAGGCCGAGTTGAGCCCTCTTGAATTCTCTATATATACCCCAGTTTTTGCCTTCATTCAGCAACTTCTTGGGTTTTAGTTTTACTGGCTACTGCTACAAGGATTTTCAAGAAAGATTGAAATAGTCTAAAGCTTATACAAGTTTCTAGCTAAATCACCTGGTCAATAAATTTGAAGGAGACTGTCAAGAAGGACCCGTTCGATCAAGGCGGCTATGGATTATTCATCGTGGGTTGATACTTCTCTGGATCTTAATATTAATCCTTTAAGAGTGAAAAGTGAAGTTCCGGTAGATGCAGAAAGATTTGGGATGGCAAGAGAATTGAAACCCACTTTCATGGATTTTCAGACCAAGCCTTCAGCCAAAGAAGAGGTTAGCTTTATATATATATATATGCAGATACTCATTTTGCAGTAATCTGTTAATGTCTCTATGGTTTTTTGTTGTGTGCCTCCTCCTGTTTTTCATGGTTTCTGGCCATCAATTGAAGGCTAAATACACGGCTTCAAGGTTTTGTTTTTCAAACAAACTTCAAGAAAGAACTAGATATGATGAATTCTTGTCATTTAATTTCAAGAAAGAATTCACAATATGATTAACCCTTTTAAATGTTTTTGGTGCTTAGGAAGCATTTTTATATAACATCAAAACATTGTTTCATGAAAAAAATAAAATTAAAAAGAACTTGCACAAAAGAGACTACCAGCTATCAGCCGTCTTAAGTTTTAGCTAGGAACTTGTTGAGCTTGATTAGAGGGTGCTTCTGAAATTTGAAGTCTTCTTGAAGTTTTGAAGTTGATTTTATTTTGTTTAATTAATTCCAGACCGGAGCTTTGGTAGTGGAACTGAACCGAGTGAGCGAAGAAAACAGGAAGTTAACTGAAATGCTAACTGTGATGTGTGAGAGCTACAATGCTTTAAGAAGCCAGTTGATGGATTACATGAGCAACAATGGAGAAAAGGAGCTTCTTGCCCCATCAAAGAAAAGAAAGTCTGAAAGCAGCAACAACAACGATAATAACATTGCAATGAATGGGCGCTCTGAGAGTAGCTCAACTGATGAAGAATCATCCAAGAAACCAAGGGAAGAAGTCATTAAAGATAAGATTTCGAAGGCTTATGTCAGGACTGAAGCTGGTGATACAAGCCTTGTAAGTCCATATAATACACTCCTCATTTGCAAAAATCTTTATTGCTTCCAAAGTTTACAGGTTATGTTTTATATGCTATGTACATGTTTTCATGGGTTGCTAAGTAATTGCATATCTATTGCAGATTGTGAAAGATGGATATCAATGGAGGAAATATGGCCAAAAAGTCACAAGAGATAACCCTTGTCCGAGAGCTTACTTCAAGTGCTCTTTTGCTCCAAGCTGCCCTGTGAAAAAGAAGGTGGGGCCAGAATCATAAACACAGTTCTCTATTGCTTATATACGAGCATCGAGTCAATTTCATCCATATCTCACATGTTCAATTTAGCCGTATTGTGGCTGATAAATCGCGTAAAATCAGTATTTTAACTCCCATGGACTATGAATTTGTCCAAGTTTTCTTTATAATCAGTAAATGAAATAAAGGTTTTAATTCCAACTCTCTTCTGTGTGGAATGAAAAGGCTGAGTAGAAATCTAAGATGCTTCTGTCTCGTTTTGTGGTTCATTCAGGTTCAAAGGAGTATCGATGACCAATCTATTCTAGTGGCAACTTATGAAGGAGAGCACAACCATCCACATCCTTCAATGGAGGCAACATCAGGTTCAAACCGTAGTCTAACACTCGGTCCAGTACCCTGCATAGCCTCCCTAGCCTCATCTGGGCCAACCATTACTCTTGATCTCACAAAATCGAAGTCAAGCAATGATGACAGGAGTTCAAAACCAAGAGCGGATACGCCTGAAGTCCGGAAATTCTTGGTGGAGCAGATGGCCTCTTCGCTAACGAAAGATCCCAATTTCACAGCAGCACTGGCCGCAGCAATCTCAGGAAGAATGTTTCAGCAAAATCACAGCGAGAAGTGGTGAAATTTCAGCTTAGATAGGAAAAGAATCAGCTCCTACCAAACTTTAGTTGGAGTTTTATAAATTATGTAGGGTTCCATGGACCATTTTGAATTTTGCAATGTATTTGTAAATACATCATTTGATACATGGGGGAACAAAAGGTCCCAAGGACGATGGCACCTTGAGGACTGTATATGATTACATGAAGAATCCAAAACTCATTTTGAGATTCAATAGTTGGATTTGGGTTTTTTCCCATTTAATGGATAATGGTCTATTTTTAATTGGTATAATCAACCATCAAAATGAATGGTCTTTCAGAGTCAAGGGTAACCTTGTGATAGAGTGCGAGTTTTAGTGTATTTTAATGGGTTATTGCCATTTGAAGACATCTAGGGGAGCAATTGTACATCAATTAGATTTCCTAAATTGACTGTAAGTGCGCAAGGTACTGGTTGGCCAAATATGGCTATCTGGTTAGCATAACTGGATTCCAGGACCACTATAGTTATGTCATATTATGTTCTTGAACTTTCATTTAGCAAAAAGTATATGGCTTCTAACCATCCAGAACTACTTGGGGCTGTCTCTCTCTCAAACATGATTTGAAGCATATGTTCCGAGTGCAAAAACTAGTGTGAAATTAAGCCGAGGTGGTTGGGATTTGAAGACTTGAGGATTGGAATATAATCTTTTCAGTCAAAGAAAACCGGCTAATTTGACCGGTTATCAATATATTTTGCAGGCTATTTTGACTTATCAGGATTATGTGGGTTCGTTGTGTTATAACTTTCCAAATATATATATATATGTACACACACACTTTGTTTTATTTATTAAAAATAGAACAATGTACACACACGCTTTGTTTTATTTATTAAAAATAGAACAATATTTTTAATTTAACCTCTAAATAATTTTTTTTTTATTTAAATTAATTAGAACACTTCAAAATATTGTGGTTAACGAAAATTTTAAACTCCTTTTTTTTATATTCATATTTGTTTTTTGTTAATTTGAATTCCTTTAACAATAATTGCAATAGTTAATGCTTAGAATTTACTAGTGTCCTATTAGATTTCTCTTGTTAGAGTAAGAATGTTGCTAACTGAGGCCTAAACAGGTTGATGTCCTCTGATTCTTGCTGTTCCAACTAGTTCAGTGGCGTTTACCTCGGCTGTCTTACCATCAGACATCTTTTGTGTTTGGCAAACAATCTGCTAGTGACAATCCTTTTATCTCCAAAAAGGAATGTTTTCTTTACGTTTTCGTTAGGAAATTGTTTCTATGTTCAGCAGAAGATGTGACCCTTTATGACCATGGGAGGGTTCTCATTAGACGAACATCGAGGGAAGCTAATCAATTTGCTGACTGACTTGCTAACTCAGATCATGGATTTCCAGTTGCTGTGTAACTTACCCATTAGACGAAGTATCATGTTATGATTAGGAACCAAAGGAGTATATTGCTACTAGGATCTTGATATGCTCTTTTATGACGAGAAAAACTAGCTGTGATATCTTCAGATGCCTTGTTAAAAGTTTAAGAACATGCATTTCCTGTTGCAACCCAACAAATCAAAACCAACAGTTCGTTTCACTTGGCATTCCATGAATTTGGGGTGCGGCTGATGTCTTATTCCTAGCAAGACATCCCAAACTTTCTGCTAGACAAGCAGCAGCCATATATGACATTATATAGAAGAATATTTTGCCGTAATCCAAAAGGAAAAGCGCTGATTAAATGTATGCGATAAAGTTTATTTGACTACAGGAATTCTGGAATCTATACACAACACTGAAAAGGAAAGGAACATGGACCTTGAAACACAGATATGTAAATTTCATATTACTGATACTGATTTTTTATAGCAGAACCTCCATTCACCGAATATTTTCAGTGAGCGGAATTTGATTACGATGACTTTCAGAAATCTAGAGCATAAAAGTCTCTTTCAAGTTCCAACAACAGAGAATAAGTCGAACCAAGATGGTTATTCCATTACACACTAGAAAAGACATTAAATCCGTGTGGATTCAACACATAAATATATTTGTGCCACCGGCCAACAGAAAAAAGTCATCAGCACATAGTATGTCACTAGTAAGTAGTAACTAGTACAATAATCAACCCCTAGGGTTGCAAGGAGATATAAGATCTCACCTGGAATTGAAAAGCTAATAAGAAGAGATACCATATCAAGGACAAAGAAGGTTTAACTTTGAACGCAGGTGAGTCTTTCAGCATATTCGCTTGAACAAAGAAAATGATATGTATACATAACAGACATGTCATTCATACAAATAATTACATGAATCAAATTGTTGCAAATATACCTGCTTGCAGTTGCTTTCTTTAGAAGCAATTTATCTTTTGTACAAAACCATTAGACACAGCCCTCCTTGAAGGAATGCCAGACACAGAAATTGGCATGGCCTTCAACTTGCCAAACAAATTTTTTTATGGTTATGTATAAGAATTCTACTCATCGACAGCTCTAGATAATCCAACATCCATTGGATCCTCAAGTTCTGTCACTTTGGTCTTAGCCTCAAGATAGTCATCCTTTACCCTTGCTTCTCCCTTGGTTGTACACTCTTGGAATCTAAAGCAATTTATGAGATGATCATTTGTTAGTCCAGCCACTTGCATGAATGAGTATATAACTGTTGGACTGACGCTGCGAAACCCTCTTTTTACTAGGTCTTTGCTTATGAGCTCTGCTTTTGGAGTCTTGACTGGGACTTGGCGGGAATATCGGAATTGGCTTACGATGGGCTTATGATTCACAAAGTTCCAGATGTATTTGTCAAACGACCCAAACTCATCTGTGACCTGCAGCATCAACAAGATGCGAGTTTACAGCAGTTTAAAGGTCATGGTTGAAACAATCTTCAAAAATATCACATCAAACCCTGAGCTTTCTTTACCATAAGTTGTTTAAGGAAAATAACAAAAAACAGGAAGTCAATATCAGGCTTACATCAGGGGGGAAAAACATGAATTGAAAAAGTCCACATCTCTACCTTGCAAATTTGACGTGCATTCTCAATGATCGATCGGAGCTTTAGCTCTGACAGTAGGGAGCTGGCAGGGCTTCCTGGCACTGCTATCCTTTTCTCGTTTAATTTGGAAACGTCAACTGGATCAAAATCCAAAAAGACTTCCCTGTATGCAAATAAACACACCTCTGAGTCAATCAAGTTATACCCAATAAAAGTTTGAGCATCAACAGTTCACGTCGTCTTTTGATTATTGAATGCCAGAACAGCAAAAGCATCAAAGGATCATAACATACACGTTTGATTCGAAATAACCAATACCTAAATATATGCCTTTTGCTAAGAATGAGAGGCCATGTAAGTTCAGCCAAAGCACCCGATAGGCTTAGCAGTTCAAACAGCTTCCTGCATGTTGAAAGAAATGATCAGAGACTAAGGGGACCACCAGATCCGCTTTTACTTTAGAAGAAGATATCCCAAGGGTTTTGTGAGTGCATACTTGTCATCATGGACTGGGACTCCCCATTCTTCATCATGAAAAGTGGCATAGCTTGGATCTTTTGGAGCAGGGAAAATATTAATTAGCAAATTCAACTTGGTAAGAAAAGTTCAAAACTAGTAATTATAATCACATCAAGGGAAGAAAATTGCGAGTGAGCAAATTATCTGGCATTTTGCAGCCTGCCACTGAATGCAGAACAGTTACGAATTAACTAGCTGGATTTTAATTATCTTGTTTCCAGAGAGGGTTTGCAGTAAGTTACAGAACCTGAAATAAAGAATTTTGCATCTAAGAATCCTCTAGCCACATGATTGTTTAATTGTTTGGTTGGCCATCCTATAAACCAAATCAACAGAACATTGAGCTTCAGCCTCTTCACTTGGAACTACTCCCCTTTTGATTCCATCATATTCTATAGCTTAGATCAAGTCTCCATGCAAGGCAGACATGAACCATTTCCATTAAATAAAAAAAAATGATATATTTGATTCAGTTACATCTATTCCTACTCATCGCCCTCCTCTTGATAGGGGTATTCCCATAACATACATGCAAACACGCCAGCATGCTTTGCCACAAAACAAACCAGCATCTCGTAGTTTCCTAGTTCATCTATACATCATTTAGCAAAACGTGCATCCAAAACATTCTGATAAGGAAACTTTAAAGTTAATGGGACATGATTTTATTTCACTATCGATTATCTGTGGTGAGGCCTAGCCCTGCAGGAATGTTAAGAGTAGAAGTTTGCTCCTGGAGCATGACCACATATGAGATGGAGATGAATGCTCTGAATGCACAGGAACACACACCTCAAACTCTGGCATCTACTAATGCAGGAATATTAGTATGTCAGTTAACCCCCTCAATTTATGAACATCTTGCCACTTAAATGAGAATGATTGTGATATAAAATCACTTCTTCAGGGTTTTATGCCAAACTAATTCAAGATTAATTGACAAAATGTTATTAGCAACTAATTCAATACTTATTGCTGAAAAGTTATTCCATTTTATCTTTCCCATTAATAAATGTTTTGCATTATCAAGATTCATGAAAACCAAGGCCAAATTCAGATAAATATGACAAGTAACGCCCTAAGGTTTTCTTGTACGAAATAATATTCTTATAACAGATGCTAACTACTAATGGAAGCAGAATATCAACCTCACAAAAGCCTAATGAAATTCTTTCATCTGTCAAAGAAAGTGCCTTCCTTGACATAAATAACAAGAGTAAAACAATTTGCAATTTGATGCATAACCTACTTGATTGTAGCATGTTCTAGAACCAATTCAACATGGACTGATATTTCTGTTGGTCACCAAGGACTAATTTCCTACTTTAAATAAAAAAACTCCATTTTCCATAAATTGGTAGGATCATTAATACTTGCTTTTAGCATGTTCTAGACCCAATTCAACATAGATAGATATTTCTCTTAGTCACCAAGGACTAATTTCCTACTTTTTTTTAAGAAAAAAATCCATTTTCCATAAATTAGTAGGATCATTGATACACGCATAAACCAAATACACACATACACCCCTTTAAAACCATTACCATCCAAACCTCTCAATTCTTGAACCTTCAAGAATCACAAGAACATCGATATTCAGGTAAAAACACACCTAATTCAAACACACCTGTAAGGAAAACATAAAACAGAGAGGGAGAATATATAAAAAAAGTTACCAGTAGTAGGTGTAACCCAAGCACATCTTTTTTTAATTTGAAGTTGAAAGTCATCGGTGCTATTATCCCCCACCAGAACTTCGTTTTCACCACCACCACCGCATTGCTTCTTCCTTACCATCACCGCGGTCCTTCTTACCGCCGTTCTCCCACTAGACCACGACGAGGAAGACGAAGACGCCCGGCTAAGCGGCGACGAGGATTCCGACGAGGCGTAGGAGGAGCAGGAAGCATTCATGGACTTTTGTCTCAAAACAACGAATTTGCCACTGCCACATTTCTTCTTGCTCCTGTTGTTGGACTCCGTTTCTTGCGGCGGCTGTTTCTCGTTGGTGGATTTCTTCTTCGTCGCCAGCTTTTCTGGTTCCTTGTTCTCCGGTTCTCTGATGCTGTTCATGGCCCGCACTCTAGGTGGGCCTCCCGACATTGCCTTCCCCCCTTTCCTCTTCTCCAAGATGCCCCCAGTAATGCTTCGAATTTACTCTTTCAAAGCTGAGATTTCTGTCGCGCTGGTCATTGTTTGAGCTTAGTAAAGAGAGATTTGAGTGCTGCGTTGGTGGGTAGAAATGAGATATTGGTGCTGAAAGAAGTCGCTTTTCTATTTTGAAGGTAGAATGAGTGTTTGGGCAGTGAGAAAGTGTGGGAAAGTGGGAGAGTGGACTTTTTCCTTTTCCTTTTCCTTTTCTTTTTCCATTGGAGAGAAAAAGTGAACTTCCTAGTTAAAATGTGCCACGTAATAGGATGTCTGAACACTGATATGCTAAATACCTCAATTTTTGAAAAAAATAAGGTACTATATTTTATGGATAATGCTGTAAGAATACAACTAATTTACCGGAACGCCATACGTTATTGTTCACATAAAATAAAAAAAATTCAACTTAAAAAAATCAAATTACAAAATGATTTGATATTTCTTATTAAATCCCATTCAATAAGTTAATTTGTAAGTCTTCTAACTTGAATTTTTATTAGTTAAATTCAACCAACATAAAAATTATTTTGACATGAACTAGTTAATTTAATAAATCTAAAAATAACTAGGTAATTAATAAAAAAATATTATTTAGTTTTTTAAAAATTCAAAATGATATTTTTTAAAAAATATTAAAATAAAAATATATTTAATTTATTATCAATTTAATACAGAAATAATAAATATTTAAAGATGGAGTTTTTATTTTATAATAATAAAATTAAACACTTATAAAATTAAGCATAAATAAAAAGTAATATAAAATAAATTATAAAAACTAATTCAAAATTAACATAATATTGAAAAATAAAATGAAATGAAAAGATTCAATCAAGGAAAAAATTAAAAATAAAATTTAAAAATAATATAAAAAAACTCTTTTATTGTTCACATGGACATTTAAGAAGTTAGGTTTACTACAGTTCTTTTAAAGTTTATCTAACAATATGGTAGATATTTTTTCTCAATAAAAACATATTAAAATAAGTTTTTATTTTATTTTTAATAGTAATAAATAAAAATGATAAAAAAATTCAAAACTAATTAAAAAAACTTTCAAAAATGTGGTTGGACCACAATACCAAACATCATAATTGTTTGTTTTTGAAGTTTCAGAAGTGATTTAATTTTTTATTTATTTATTTCAAATTAATATGTTTTTTGGTGTTTTTAAATAATCTTGATATACTGATATAAAAAATTAAAAATTAAAAAAATATATTATTTTGATATATTTTTAAACAAAAAATATTTTAAAAAACAATTTTATTATATTCACCATCACCCCCCCTTTAGTAGAGCATGTGATCTTAATATGTTATATAATTATATCTTATTGTTTTAAAAATAATATATAAATAATAGGTAATGAAAAATAAATACACCCAACTAATTTTAAGTAGTAACAAATTAATAATTGGTTAAGAAGTAATGATACTTGCTCCTATAGAGACCATGTTTAAGGAGGGAGTTTCTATTATATTTTCATGTCAAAAAAACAATTTAAATATTTATGTTATCATCCAATTTCAAGTATCAATTCAAATATTTATTATTTAATATTAAATAATATATATATATATATATATTAAATGGTAAAATTATAAATGTTATATATAGTGGTGGCTTGAGAGAGGCTTCGGCCCCTATAAGAAATTTGTTTTTCAATCCTCTTCTATATAAATATTTTAAAAATAATTAAAATTTTAACTTAATCCTTTTAATTTTTGATTTGACCCTTCTTAATTTTTTTTTTCTTACTCCGTCCCTGTTTGATATTACATGTACTTTATCAATTATCTATCAAATAAAATAATTATAAAAAACCATCATTTATTAAAGTTGGTTTTGTTCAATATTTAATTATTATTGTTATTAACAATGTTAAAATCACTTTGATTTTCTGAAACATGTGTTCAAACATGTGTAAAACCTATTAAAATCAAATGAAAATTTTAAATTGTGAAAGGAGTTGAATTCATGTTGCTAAAGTAAATGTATGCATTAATTTGATACTTGTCATTAATTTTGAATATATTAAAAATTATCTTATACAGTGAAATCATCAACACTAGTAGATTACAAAACACCACTTGGAAAACAAGGAAGCACCTCCAAAGTAATCAGAATGAGAAAAAACAAATAATCATCAAGATTTGAAATAAACACAGGGCCAAGAGGTTCACAATGAAGATGTTATTCAACTAAAACTAAAGAGCTGAGAAAGAGAACATCTTCCAACCATCCAATCTCTTATTGCATGGTAGAGTTGTCAGACTTGTGATCAAGAGATTGGTTTTGCTCGAGTAGCTGGATCCTCCTTTGATTCCAGGTGGATCATGAACACATAGCCCAGAGTCCACAAGAGAATGTATTGGAAAGGGACCCAAGATAGACATGCAAAAAGACTCAGAACGCTTCCAACATACTGTGGATCTCTTATAACCCCGAATGGGAACTCTGTAACCCAGGGGACATTCTTCCCAAAGCGTACACCATAGTAAGTACCAGCTTCACCAAGCAATTGGTATACCCTGTAATTGTAATGTGCAGGTTCTATTATAAACGCAAAATGAAGTAGATGGAAGAAAAAGAGTCCACAAAATCTAATATTATTTAGACAGGAGCAGCTAAAACATTCAAGCAAAGCCTCAGAATCACATTATATGAGAAGAGCCTCTCGTTTATTCTCCACGACCAGTATCCTGCTGCTAAGGAATTTTAACTCCCCAAAACCGGAACAGTAATTCTCCAAGATTGAAAAATGCAACTTTTTTCAGTTCAAGGAAGTCATGCAATTACAAGCCTCAAAAGCATGCTAACTATCAGCCAAAGGATAAAATCATTTCTCTGTCACCCTGATCCCATGAAAAAGAATCCGTACTGTACACCTAGCCGGGGATGCCTGAGCAAAGAAACAAGCAATCTATATCGTGATGCACATTTACAAAATGTTGGACTTGGAAATCGGGACTAGATATCCAGAGATAAGTCTAATCATGGAAGATAAAATGTGCAAAGGGTGTCCACTCTAAGGTTGTAAACATTTTTTTTTAACAGAAAACTAACAAAATTCATCTCTCATTTTATTGAATGGGGTATGCCAAGAAAAGTCCAAAATTCAGGCAGAACGAAACAAGCCAGTGAAAAGCTGATCCAACTACTGCAGGATCTTTTTAGTTTTTACACCAAATCTGATATTTTAGAAGATTACTATTCGGTCCAGGAACATGGCCCAGATTCTCATAAAGTTCAGAAATTTACGGAGTGCCGAAGCTGAAAGTTAAAACTCTGTGGTTAGAGGAAAAAAGGGAAAAGAAGAAAGAGAGAACCAGAATGTCAAAACAGATATACACAAAAAAAGCAAAATCACAAACAGTATGGTCAAGAATGAGGAGTTGAACCTAGACACGTGAAAGAAATTATGCTTTTCAGACAAGCATTGAGGATCATGCAACAACAGCCATTGATTTCAAAGACTGCCTGATTGGCCGATCTTATACTCGAAGCAGGCCGTCTATGTAAGCATGTCTAGGCTGGAATATTAAGCCAACAATTATACAAACTATAAGATCCACAGAGCAACAACCGGGTCCAAGCTCAACTGACCACCATAAATCAATGCAGCCATATCTTAACATCACTGTCGGATTACCAAACGTTATCTTAAGAAAAAAAACTTGAAATCCGAATTGGGTCCATAACCAACAATTCATCTCCATAAAAAAGATACGAATTTGGAAACATTAACTCCCAGACACCGATCTTTGTAGGCATATATGAATGTGCTACATATACGTGCCAAGTATTTGCATTTCCATTACCAAAAAAAAAAAATGATGGAAGCTTCACATGAATTCCTAACTGGGTCCGATCAGTTACAGGCACATATTGATATGTTAGATATAATACCACAGTGAAAAACTGACCTGAAGTTGAGGAACTGACCAAAGCCAAAGAGGGGCCAGAAGTAGAGAGGCGGCGGCCAAGAGGGAGTGGAAACTGAAAAAAGAGAAATGAACTGCAACAACTTGAGGAAATGTGAAACATAGGCCATCACCTTTGATGGGTCCTTGTATTTCCCACATAGGTTCACCCATGCCTGTGGGTTTGTCCATAACCAGTAGTAATATGGGAATGGGAGCAACACACCTACTGCTGCAAAGATTCCCATTTTCTCTCCTGCTTGTTTTCCTAGTGTTTTTCCTGATATGTCACTGATTTTGCGGAGATGCTGTGTTCTGTTGTGGAGCCTATAGAGGTTTTATTTTGTGGGTGCTTTTGGTCCATGGGCTTTCAGGCAAAATAAAGTAATATCGGGTCTAATGGGCTGATCCCAGTTTCAGAACTGTTCATTAGCCCAGTTGCTAGAGCTTGAATTTCTGAACTAAATGCATTTATTTTCGCTCAATGTCGCCTAGTATTGTTGAGATGATAAGCACAATATTGATTTATTTTGAGTTGTTAATTTCAATTTCTAGCACTTATCTTTTGAGAAAAATAGCATATCCATCTATCTATATTTTGATTACCTTCACTCATAGATGTATTTAAATTTAAATTTTGATTTATGCAATTTGTTTTAGATACGTGTGAATATAAACTGTATAATATTTTGTGTGAATATAAAATGTATGATATTTCCTATAATTTTTCTACAAGGAAACCTTTTATTGTAAAGAAAAATGTTAAATTTCTTCTTAATTTTATATAAGCATATGCCCGGATAAAAAGGAAGAATAAGAGAAAATTATATAATATATTAAAATACCGTTTACATAAATACAAAATATTATGGATTGAAGCAGTATAATGGCAGCTCAACTCTTGACACAAAGAGTTGCAGGGATAACGAGAGAGGAATCGGATTATCTTTTTACCGAGATGCATTGTTATTAAAGGAATAATTCAAAAGAAAATGATTCGCATAAATTTTGGTGAGACTACAGGTCACGGGTAATGAACACCTGGCGTTGGTGCTATCCATACAAGGACATCTAGCGCTTTGGCTACCCCTTCCTTGAGTGGGACAGACTCGAGTGTCACATGATATATTAGCGACTTATCATTGTGTGGGGCTGACCTAAGCAGCACCTGACATTGGGCAGCTCCAACAAATAAGGCAGACTAAAACGCCACCCGACGCTTTGGTCTTGGATAAGGCCAGATTGACCATCGCACTCTCAACACCATGTGGCATTAGAGCAGCACAAGCGCCAGGTTTCCGTTTCTCATTATTATTATAATATTATTACTTATAACAAAAATACTAATATTTATACCATAAATAATAATATTTTTAGTATTCATACTATTAATTATAAAATAAAATAATATTATTTATAGAACAAATAATATTATTTTTATATGAATATTTTAAATTTTATTAATAATGATAACAATAATATTTTAACTCAAATACTATTCATCATAATAAAATAATCATATTTGTAACAACAATTATACTATTTTTAAAAGTAATACTTTTAATCATAAGAAAAATTAAAATATTTATAACATATATTGTACTATTTTTACTATTAATACTTTAAATTATTATAAAATAGTTATAACACAAATAATATGATTTTTGATATTAATACTTTTAATTATAATAAAAATTAAAATATTTAAAATATTTTATCAAGACCTAATAGAATTAGATCACGCAAAACCTATTAAGCTACGGTTATGACACTGGACCTTAAATGATCGGGACCTTTGTCATGACCCAGGTATGCTGGCTCTCCCCAAGCCACCCCTATCACCCATGTGGTGCTCAGGTCTATAAATGGGGTGGGCGTGACCTGGCTTACCCAAACACTTCCAAGCGTCATATGGCGCTGGGGTTTAATTACTAGGAAAAGGTTGCCTAGCACCATATGGTGCTAGGGTAGACGAAGCGCGAGGTGTTCATTTTCTATTGTTATTATAATATTATTATTTATAATAAAAATAATAGTATTTGTGTTATAATTATTTTTATTTTTAATATAATTAAAATTCTGGACACAAACACACTTAACTCTAAGTTAAGTCTGAACACAACCACACTCAACCCCAAGTTGAGTTTGGATGCGTCTATGTTTAACCTAATTTGGGTCTGGACAAGTCCATGACCACCCCTAGTTGGGTTTAGTCACATCCTCCCCTAATGTCAAGTTTTGGACCTGGACACATTCATGTTCAACCACATGTGTGTTAATATAATAATGTGTATTATAAATATTATTAATTTTTATTATAATTCAAATTATTGTTATAAAAAATATTATTATTTGTATTATAAGCATCCTTAAATTCTTAATATAATTATTTTTATTATAATTCTAAATATTTATATAAAAAATAGTATTATTAGTGTTATAAATATTATTATTTTTTATTATAAGTAATAGTATGAATATTAAAAATATTATCATTTATGTTATAAATATTATTAATAAAATAATTAATAAATTAGAAAAAACAATTATTATTAATGTTAAAAAAATATTATTTTTTTATATTATCAATTTTATAATAGTTTTTATAAAAATAAAAAGCAAACTCGTCACGTATCGTCAGCATCTAACTAATTTTAAGTAAATTTTGGCAGGGTGTCAGCATAAGAATTTATAAAGAAGAAATTGGAACCTTTGGTCATAATTTAATTTTTTTGATGGGTTTTAAAAGTTTGATTAATTTTAAAAAAAATTTAAAAAATAGTTTTTTTAATAATTTTCCATAATTTTAATATATTGATATAAAAATTAAATAAAAATAATATAAAAAATAGTCATTTAAATTTGTTTTTAAGCAAAAACAAGCCTCCATGTAACCCAATAATAAACACACTTTCTCAACGTCTAAAACAACGATCGATCACTTGCTTACCTACCTAGGTTCTAGCTTGAAATTAGTGATAGTTCAAAAACAAAAAAATAATAATAATGAGGTGATTGATTTGATTTTAATTCTAGACTCCATAAAGAAAATGTCAAAAATAGGTCAACATGCATTTTAGTCCTAGGCTTTCAGCGAAACACTCCTAAAGCCGACTGTTCAATGGATTTCATAATCACTTACGTAAGATGGCTTAAAGGGACATGATTAAACAACACTAGATCTAGCTAGTTGCATTGCTAGTTGAGAAGAGCCTGTCCTCTTCCTCCTGCAAAAATTAACATATATTAAACAGAACCACTAGAGGTATTTTAGTGGACACTAGGGATGGACATTGATTTAACCTAAGACATCTACGAGGCATGCAAGTGGCTTGAAAATAGAAAAGACAATTACAAGAAATCTCAAAAGTAGCTAGATGCAAAGAAGAGTGCAATGGAATCATATATATATATGTTTTTCTTACTACAATTAATAGTTGTGTTGAACAAGAATATGCTTAGACTTATAATTATCTCTTTCATTATGTACCCTAATACATCCCGAGTACCAATTCCAACCCGCTTCCAAAGTGCCTTCCTAGTCATATGATTACATTTGGTTAGAATTTTAGAGCATAAAAAACAAATTAATCTTACGATAAATTTGTAATAAATTTATTGTTAGAACAATTTTGAAATGAATTTATATTATTTTAAAATAAAAAAGATGATAAAATATGCTATTTTTCTATATTTTCTATCTCAAAAAAATAAATTAAACTATATATATATATATATATATATACAATTATCAATTATTATATCTCATCATGTTAAACATTTTTATTTTTTTTGAATCTGAGAAAGTCTTATTCTCGAAAAACATACTTTGTAGTTACAGGTAAATAAATAAATCCTGACTATTCTAAATTCTTGTAAAAGATACATAATCTGACTTGAAATCAAAATCTACTATATAGATTTTAAACTCTTTATTATCACGCCACATTTTTTAAATACCATTATTTTAAATATGTTAATGTTAAATTTGATGTACATGGTGTATCGTTCTCCCTTTCACTTTTAAATTACTGATAGCTAATGCTTTTTTTCTTTGACCAATTAATTTAATAGTAACAAATTCATTAAGATCAATTTCGGTGTCTAATTTTGTTTTCTTTTTCTTTCCGGTTGTTCCTCGTCATGGAATTAAACGAGGAGGAGAATTATTTACCCTAATATGCTTACCCCATTACCGATTCCATCTTAATTAATCTTATGATTATATTTAGCTGCTAGTATTTCATGATAGAAGAAATTAAAAAATATAAAAAGGAAAAAAAAACATATTTAATCAGAAGAACAAAGATGAAGATGTGACATAAAAATAAATGCATAGTAAGAACATTTTTGAGATGAATTTTGTTATTTTAAAGCAGAAATTAATGACATTAAAAAATGTATTTCTCTCCATCTTTTCTATCTGAAAAAATAAAAATCAAACAATGCATATATCAATTCTTATAATTATATCTCATCACTGTAAATGTGAATTTCATATTCATTGCTGTTTTGCTGGCCTTTCACTTTCAATTTCTGATAGTTGATGCCATCTTCTTTGACCAAAATACTGTTCGTAACATCTTCAGTAAGATCACGCTTCACAGAGGACAAATCATACTGCGTTAGATAAAGCTTCCTAGAATAGATCGGTTCGATTCCCATGCATGAACAATTCTTGCATCATCATGTTTCATGTTCCTAATATTTAAAGAAAAATTCAATCCTCAGCAAAGGATAAAGACAGGTCTCTTGGATTTTATTTTATTTTATTTTTTGTCAAAGAAACCTTCGAGGTTAAAAGGCATTCAGCACATGTCTCGATGTTTCGTAATTACCACTTTTAATTACACATAAACTAATCTTAATTAAGAATGGATAATCCTTTTGGGATGGTTATCAATATTCCAAGCACATGACCATCTCACATGTTCCTCTAAATACGTGGTGATGGGCATGCATGATTCTCGCCATCTTCACCAATAATTGGTGAAAAGAAAACTAATATAATGTTATTATTTGGAACGGCTACTCTACGGACAGAGATTTTGCTTCTCAATTGACTTAAAACGAAGATCAATTCCATTAAAAAAAAAAAAACATCGGTGAAGATGTAAATAACTAATTAAACATGCTTAGGGAAAACTACTATGCTTTTGTTGGTCCAATTTAATTTTTTTCTTGGTAAACACATCTCAAATTTAGTCAACAAATAACGATTTTATCTGCCTATAACTACATTCACACACACTAATGTATTTTTTCTAGTTTATTTTTTTTATTTAAGATTACTAGAGTTTTTTAG